AAAAATTTGAATTTGGTGAACTAAACTTGAAGGTTTGCTAAAATAGAAAGAATTTTCAAACGGGTATTACTTCAGATGACACTATGATGTTGGTTCATGAACAGAGTTTATTTTAGTTCGATTGTGTAGGCTGCTTAAAGCTCAAATCTCAAACAAATCTGTTCCTGGAACCAACAAGTAGTGAGCAATGAGTGTCAAGTTTCTTTTTGAATGAAACAACAGATCGCTCCTGAAAGAGTTTGAACCCAAGTGGATATTGATCCTTATATTGTTAGTCCACTCAGCTACATGTATTCTGCCACATTGAAAACTGTAATGTTCTTTGAAGGTTTCTCAGATAAGTGGTCCAGGGCCTTCTCAGTTCTCTTACTTTTGTAAATTATGTCATCTACTGTGAAGACCTAATTGCTCAGTATACATGTATTTCTATATCTCAGACAGAGTTATGAATTGTTGTATATTTACAAGGTACAATATAAATCAGATCAGAGTTATGAATTGTTGTATATTTACAGGGTACAATATTGAAGCAGCCACCAATGACAATATAAAGAAACAGTTTGGAACCAATGCCTGTGCTGGATGTGCCGGGTGTTCAGCACAAGGGTTTGATATTGGTGTTGGAATGGTTGGTGAAGCTGCAGCTGATACTGAGGCAGAGGTAAATTAACTTCATTACATAATGTTATCATGATTATTTCTGGGCTTTTTAGCTTGACTATTTAAAAAATAGGGAAAACTATGTGCTAACGTTAGCATTGCCATCACACTTTGGTTAAGTTTTTGCGTGCAAGTTGGTATTTCCAAAACTACCTGAAGGGAATTGGTTGAAACGTCACACACTTGTTCTCTGTGATTATGTAACAATGTAGCATGATTGGCACAGGTCATATAACTCGAGTTACCATCTTGCAGAGTTATGCCCAGTTCGTTACTGTCAAACACTGAGAATAGTCAAGCACGTTGTCTCATGGAAGCTCTTGTTCTCTTCATTGTCTTCTTAACTACTCTTAGTAACAGTGTCAGTTAAATCTCCTTTCATTATTAATAACATAATGCTACAGATGTAAACCTCCTGTTATAAAGACCAAAAAAGTGATTGCATTCAGTTTATTGAAGCATATTTAAATTTTGTATCAAACAGTTCATTGCAAATGAAAAAGCATTTCCGTTAGAAAAATGAACTGTGCATTTTCCATATAATGAAATTGAAAGTCTGTGGTCATTGGTCATGTTAAATTTTAAACCGGCATGGTTTTTGGACCTGACGTAATCTGGTTAAAGTTGCAGCCTGAAAACTGGTTATAAAGTTCAGAAAATTGGTTACTTTATAAAGAAAACTGGTTTTTGCATAAAGAAAACTGGTTAGTTAGAAAAGAAAACTGGTTATTACATAAAGAAAATTGGTTTGTGAGTAAAGAAAACTGGTTATTAAAGAATATGATATAATATTTTCAGACATTAGAAGTTGTTGACCACACTGGTGAGGAAGCAGGGGACACAGGTGAGCATGCTGATGATGGAAACTCCCCAGATCATGTGGATACGATGGACATGGATGCTGGAGGAATGGATGGGATGGGAGACATGGGCGATGCAGGAGCGGCGTCATGTGCGGCCTTCTAAAACCTCAGTGCTTACCATTTTGTCACAACTGTAAAATAATGACTTGTACTTCGCATTTCAAATTTGTTTGTATAAATGGAATATTTTCAACTTCATCTGTTTTGAAACAAGAATTTTGTTGTTTCTTTTTTATAAGATTGCTTATTGAAGTATAGTGGTTATTATTATTCTTGATGCTGTCTATTTTTTATTATTTTTTTTAAGAAATGTGACTATTTTAAAGTATGTTATGATGTCATTTTGAAAGTTAATTATTTGTTTTTACTGTAGTCCATTTCAGAATATGTGTTATTTGTGTAGTGATATATTTATGATATTTGTATGAGTCAACATGTACTTCATCCTGCATGTTCATTAAGTCTGATTCAATTTTTATAACTAGTCATTACCTGATTTTTTGTCATTTTGATCCTCTTCATTTTTAAGGGAAAGTTTCAAAATAAGTACTGCCTGAATAGTAATCAGTGTAGATCATGATTAGATCATAGACATGCGGACAGCTGATCTTGGTCTGCACTGGTCACATGGGTAGATTATATTGCTGCCATCAGGCTTAGGGTCAAGTTAACAATAATTATCAAGTCTGTTACACAATTTTACCCTGGTTAAGGTTTTTTGAATTATGTTTTGAGGTATGAGGTATTTCAAGTTTATACTCCCTTTTGTGTCCTAATTGAAACTGTATATCTAAGTTATTTCTATATTTCTATTCTTAAGATTTTTTTACTTTTTGCAGGTCCTCTTTATGCTTGTAATGTCCTCTGTATGTTTGTAACACTGACAAAAATACTTTTTGAGTCAAGTTTCTAAAAAGTATGGCATGTTTGATAATTTCTACGCAAGGACTGCATACATACATGTACATATTCTGTGTTATCTGATAATGGTTATGGAGATCATCAGATAATATTTTATTTTACAATTTTGTCAAAAGAGTTTGCTTTCAAAGTAAAGAAAATATATATGGTTTAACGCTCATAAATATGAGGACTTTATTCATTTAATATATATTCAGTAATGAAAAGTGGTCTTTTGATGTGTATATAATGTTTGACTGTATAATACATTTATTGGGATATTTATGATATTATGTTATAAAGATAATTAGAAGAAAACATTTTTTACATTTACCTATTACTGTAGATGTATGTGCTTTTTTCACAAAAATCTTTTATTTTATTGCTTTTTTATACATGTTTTGCTTCACTTTATTGTCTGAATTGCCTTATGCACATTTATGTATTGATTCACTGTCAATGCTTACAATCAAAACTACCATATATCTAGTCATAATGTAGAATAATGTGCCAATTAGCTTTAATTGATTTTTATTTGTCAATTTTTATTTTAACTTTTTTTTGAGCTTTTATTCACTGTGTGCTATGATAAGGAGATTATTTCTATGAATTCTTTGTTTAAAAGAACATCTTTTATTCTACAAACTAGTCATACCTTTTTACATTGTACTTTTTGCTTTAAGTATTATTTATGTTGCTCAAATTATAGATTTAGTAATGGATTGCAAAATACATTACATTGACCATGCCTCTGTCATGTTTATGTATTTTTGTATCTCTTTCATCATGTTCATGTATTTTTTATTAGGAATGCTGTCATCTCAAAAAATAGGGATATAAATTTATTCACACTTTGTGTGTTTTTAAAGGATTATTCTTGTTATATGGATCATATGAACTGAATTTTCAATGCAACACTTTTTCCATATACATGTATTATTTGATTTGACTATGTGATGATTAATATTTCAATCAAAGTTTGAAAACAGAATTGTGTAAACTCTTATATAAATAACTGTATCTGCTATGGTGATGTACCTAGACTTTAAACTGTGCATGACTTTTATGTGAAGTTGTCTTTTACTGCAATGAAACAGAAGATATTGTCTGTTACATGATGGGTAGAGAAATGTTAATGTAGTGAAATATGTATGTAACAGTTGATGTATCACAACATACAAGTTGTTGGATAAATGTGTAAATATGATATTTATTTTGAAGACTTCTGAAATTTTAAAAATGATTGTTTATATATAGTTAAAATTATTCAAAACGTTCATTTATTATATTAGCTTGTGGAAACCCTACTTGCTCTACTTGCTTGTGTGGACCAACAGTAAAATGGTTTACTAGAGCTGCCTCCATGCTTAGTTTTATAACAAGGACTTTGATTGGCTGAATATTAAAAGATTTAATTCAAGGTGGATTGGTGGAATACCTGAATCTCATCTTCAATCAGCCATTTTGATTGGTTGGTAAATTTTTGCATTAAAATGATGTTTGCTGTTGATGTAGTGAAAGTTTTTGAAGATATAAATGTAAATTCTCCATTTTGTTAAGTGCTAAGTTTATGGACCAAATGTATCATAGCATTAATACATTCATACTTAGTTATGACTGCATGGTGGTGAAAATGCAAACACAACTTCATTATAAAACATTGAGGTGTATATTTTATACTGTTGTAGCTTTTGAAATATCTTAATTATAACATGCTTGTCTCTATGATGTTGAATGTACGAGATTATGGTAATGGTAATCATGTATTCCGAGTCGTACCACGATACTAGCACCAGATCTATGTTGAAATGCCTTACATGTAACATGTACTTGTTTAAAACATCCGTTATAAGTAGTGAAGTTTGTTCGTCAAGACCATGTGAAAAACCAGTATCTCGAGGCGTCATCATAATTCTCATATAACTTCTTTTGTAAAGTTATGACAGTATTTGGATGAACATTGTATATTAATGAGGAAAAAAATTATTGAAGATCATTTATCAGTGCTGCATAACGAAATCCGATATTTTTTAAGAGAATCTGAAGAGCTTAATTATGAAAACTTTGTTTCGGTACTGATTAAATACTGATAGATTATTGATTAAAGATAGCATCACTGCCAAAAATGTTAAAATTGATTTTTCTGTATATAACCAGTATTTTAGATGCTGTTAGTATTGATTTGAATCCATTAAACACACAGGGAAAATGCAATCTTATTCTGATCTTCCAATTATAGATACTTTAGTTCTTGTTTAGAAAATACTGTGCCAAACTACGGGGGCGGAATTACATCTAGGATAACTTTATGTACAGATTTTATATGTATCAACCATTGTAAGTTGCTGGCATAACAGAAATAATAACTACAGGAACAGATATGTTTTACACCATGTAGACTATACTGGTGTTATATAGGCTTTGATCACCTAAATGGATTTACAATGTGCAAAACATTTATATTGCAGTTTTGTGGTGATAGAAAACGAATAATTGATGCTGAATAATAGATGTTGCTTTATGGAGAACCAGTCCTCTTTGTTTTTATTATATTATCAGTATGTGTCATTATTTTTTTTTACTATGTAAAACAATGGAAAACCATGAATTTATCCAGATATTGTTCTGTATTCTTTTCTTATTAGTTTAACTGTTGAGCATTAATTAGAAAAAAATATTGTCATCAAATTACTAGATTTTTTTTTGTAAAAAAAAACACTGATTGTACTTCACTAGAAAATAGGGAAGGAACTGGATTAAATATAATTTCTTACTGTTATTTGTATTATTCTAGTTTAATGAAATAGAAAAAAAAACCTACAATATCCAAACATATTTGTCAACATAATTGTCTAACCATTTATATGTTCATATATGACCATAAGGAGGTGATACTATAATCATGTTTGTATAAGAATTGATTGTTCCATGGACAAGAAATTCTCTTCAACTATAGACAATTAGTTAAAAGATATATGAGCCGCGTCGCGACAAAACCAACATAATGGGTTTGCGACCAGCATGGATCCAGACCAGCCTGCGCTTCCGCGCAGTCTGATCAGGATCCATGCTGTTAGCTTACAAACCCTATAGCAAGTAGAGAAACTGATAGCGAACAGCATGGATCCTGATCAGACTGCACGGATGTGCAGGCTGGTCTGGATCCATGCTGGTCGCAAACGCATTATGTTGGTTTTTTATCATGACCTGGCTCATATTTGTTAGATTATTGTCTCATTTCATTGATAAAGGCTTAACGTAAAGATGTCTTTGTTATATAACGTATGTGTATTTTGTAAATTTGTACTTTATAATCACAAGGTGATGTGAGGTGGAATTTTTTTTCTTTCATGTTGAAACAACAAGATGTTACTTGTACATGTATATTGTAGTCAGTGTTTAGTATTTTTGGTATTAATCACATATATATATCATGTAGATAGAACAACAGGCCTTCACTGATGACGGATAATGTTCAAATTGATCAGTTAGGGGTCATTAAATGACGAAAACTTCAGCCAAGATTACTTCCAGGACTTGGTGGTAAACTCACTGATGACAGATAAATTCATATTCGGCAGTAAGGGGGAGTAATTTATAATTGACAATAGTCAATTTGCTGGTGTTAATGATATTGTTGGATAAAAATCTAAACAATTTTTGTATTTTTAAGATGTTATTTAATATTTCAAGATGCAAATAGGTTTTGGTTATTAGGGACATCTTCATCTTTTTGGCAACATTTTCTTTGAGTATGCTACATATATCATGTTGTGATCTTAACTTATGCTGTCATGTTGTACACATAATTTGAGATAAGGTAGTAGTTGGCAAAACACACATAAAAGTGTTGAATTATAACAACTTAATTTGTTGAATAGTGGAAAATCTTGCTATGATAGCTTATTTTACTTGTCTGTTTTTTTTTCACGAGAAATAAAAACAAGAACATCAGTTTACTTTTCATTAAGATCAAAGACAAAAATGATGGTATCAACTATTTTGACTGCCATGATATCTCAGATCATGTGTATATATTTCACATTTACATGCATATATTACACATTACACATTTATATGCATCAGTTTAAACACAAGAAATACTGCTGAACTACACAACCAATCATTACAAACATTGTGTATGCTCAACACATTTTGTGAATCAAAACACCTAGCAACATATAATCATATACGTAGAATAACATCTAGTTTTGCAAAATGGGTCTTCAAAATTCTACAAAACCGTTGATAACATTATGGGGTAATATTTTTTCAGTCATTGTTTGGGATAGGGTTTATTATAATAAAAGTAAACATCTTTTAGGGCCTGTTGTCTGTAGAATTTTGGGATGTTATTAATAAACTGTATCCTAGTACAAAGTATTAGTTTTCTTTATTTATTGATTCCCGGCCCCACCAAAAAAAACCCATCAAGGAGAACAAGTACAAAATACAAGTTTTCTATATTTATTGATTCCTGGCTCATAAAACTCATCAAGTTGACTTGGTGAGGAGAACAAAGTACAAAATACTAGTATTCTTTATGCTTAGAAACCCCTATCACATTGGCTTGTCAAGAACATATGGTCTACATTCCAATGTTACCTTTCATGTGAGAATTTAGCTGCCTGCATTAAGTCCACCGGTATATGTCCCATTTTGATGATTCAAGCAATTACTTTGGTTGGCATTTACATACAGTGGTAAGAATAAAGTAGCTGCATGCTATTAATTCTTCCGGCTCAAGTGAATCTACCCATGCAGACCAAGATCAGCCGTAATTACAAATTTTGAATTTTTCCCTAAATTGATGAATGGTTTAGTCCAGATTAAAACATGGACAAAGTCCATTTACTGCATGGTAGTGGTTAAATGATGAAAAATCTCAACAAGCAAGTACTTGACCTGAATGAATGAAAACAAAATCATGAGCTTCAAGTGTTTAATCATGAAAAATTATTGTAGTGGGTAATTCCAAGTTTGTTCAATACATGTAATAACATAAGGTAGTTATTTTTCTATAGCATTGCAGTATGACACTTCCTTGTCATTGAAGATTTGAAGTATATCATGCAGAATCTTCCTATCTGATAAATTTGTACAAGTATAAATCGTGACAATGATATATTTTAACTTCTGTCCTAGAATTTACAAGCAATTGCCAATTTTTATGATATAGAAATATGTCAACATCCGGATTAGAGAAAAGGTAGAAAACAATATTCACATAATAAATTCATCAGAAACATCAGTAACAGCAAAAAATCAGCCTTGGATTATTCCAAATTTCATAAAAATTGACACAAAGAAGTTACAGACAAAACAAGAATAGAATAAGTGGTAGCCACAGCTGTGTTAAACTTTGCTGGGTCTCTGATTTTAGTACAGAATCTTGGTTTACTAGCTACTGGGCAGCCATCGGTTGCTCCCGTCCTAGGTGGAGTCCACTTGTCAAGGCCGCAGGTTGCAATGATTTTATCAAAGTTTTCACTTGTTGGAGGAAATGCTGTTTTCTGTAAAGGATTAATTTCCGCATATTTCATGAAACCATTCAGTGTTCGTGTTAGACCAACTATATACATGTTCCCTTCATTTGTCTGCTCATTGACAGCGGAACATTCGTCACCCTCTCCTCTGATATTCTCAATAATAACCTGCCCAGGTACTTGATATAATCCAGTTTTAAGCACACAGTATACATCAAACCTGGAATCAACTTCTAGTGGTGTGCGAAGTTTTCTATGTCCACGATCTTGGCCGTAAACAACAATATCTGACTTTAGCAACAACTCTTCCATTGTCATATTTCGCCAAACGGAAGTCTTACATCCACATGTGAAGTCACAACAGAAAACAAACAAAACATAAGCAACAAAAGTTAACATTTTTAGATAAAAATATTCCATTGTTCCTTCTTTCTTTTTCAAGCTGAATTCTTTAAATATTTCAAGACTCATATAAAAGGTAAATTCTATGTCCCTACAGGTGTAAAAACTTGACACTGCCAGAACAATTGTGTCACCTTTATATACAGAGTTCAAAGGATTACATGTACTAGTAATTTAATTAATCAGAAAAAACAATTTTGTTATGAAGACTCGAGTTATAAAACACTCCAAAGATTCTATATATAGTCATATATGACATAAATTATTTAGGCCCCTTGTAATAGTTACATATATATACAATAATTACTACAGACACTGTGTAAATGTACTATATTTTTAGAAAATATTGCTGTAAAAAATATTGCCTTGATTTGTATAACTACAATTACATAAGTGTAACAGAACCTTTGGTCATGCATTAAGAGGTTTCTGTGTGATGTTTTATATTAAATTATCACCACAGTGCATAATTAGACCAGTATAAACCAGTAATAAGTCAATATTGTCTCTGAAAAGAAACAAGAGGGCCATGATGGCTCTAGATCACTCAACTGACCCATCAACTCATCCGAACAATTACCAAGACAAGCATTCTGACCAAGTTTCATGACAGGTGAGTCAAAAATGTGACCACTAGAGTGTATACAAGGATTATCCATATTTGAGCAGTGTGACCTAGCTTTTTACCCAGGTGACCCATATTCAAACTTGACCTAGAAATCATCAAAACAAACTTTCCGACCAATTTCCAGGATACTTGGATCAAAACAGTAGCCACTAGAGTGTTAACAAGATTTTCTATTTTTAGCTCCGGTGACCTAGTTTTTCATGTGAGATGACCCATGTTCGAACTCATCTGAGCAATTACCTAGACAAGCACCCTGACCAAGTTTGATGATAATTGAGTCAAAAATGTGACCAATAGAGTGTAAACAAGGTTTTTCCATATCTGGGCGGTGTGACCAAGTTTTTCATTCGAGATGACCCATGTTCGAACTTGACCTAGAAATCAATAAAACAAACTTTCAGACCAATTTACAGGATATTTGGATCAAAACAGTAGCCACTAGAGTGTTAATTAGATTTTTCTATTTTTAGCTCCAATGACCATGTTTTTCATCCAAGATGACCCATGTTTGAACTCATTCGAGCAATTACCTAGACAAGCATCCTGACTAAGTTTGATGATAATTGAGTCAAAAATGTGACCACTAGAATGTAAACAAGGTTTTTCCATATTTGGGCAGTGTGACCTAGTTTTTGACCCCAGGTGACCCATATTCGAACTTGACCTAGAAATGATCCAAACAAACTTTCAGACCAATTTACAGGATATTTGGATCAAAACAGTAGCCATTAGAGTGTCAACAAGATTTTTCTATTTTTAGCTCCTGTGACCTAGATTTTCATCCGAGATGACCCATGTTCGAACTCTTCCGAGCTATCACGTAGACTTGATGATGATTAAGTCAAAAATGTAACCGCTAGTGCTAACAAGGTTTTTGACCCATGTTGGAACTCATCCGAGCTATCACCTAGACAAGCATCCTGACCAAGTTTGATGATGATTGAGGCAAAAATGTGACCGTTGCAGTTTAAACAAGGTTTTTCTATTTTTAGCTCCTGTGACCTAGTTTTTCATCCGAGATGACCCATGTTCAAACTCATCCGAGCTATCAACTAGATAAGCATCCTGACAAAGTTTGATGATGATTGAGGCAAAAATGTGACC